GGATTACAAAAAAAAAACAAAACATTTCGATCATGGATTACAAAAAAAAACAAACATTTCGATCATGTATTACAAAACATTCGATCATGATTACAAAAAATTCTATCATGGGTTACAAAAAAAAAAAAATTCTATCATGGATTACAAGAAAAGAAAACAAACATTTCGATCATGGATTACAAAAAACAAAAAATTACGATCATGGATTACAAAAAAACAAAAACAATTCGTTCATGGATTACAAAAAATCGATCAAGTATTACAAAAAAAAAAAAAAAAAAAAAACCGTACGGACTCGCCGATTTAGTACAGTAAATCGGCGAGTCACTGTACAGAATCGTCCGGTTCTCTCTAGAACCGGACGATTTCAGATTTTTCAGCCGATTCGATCCACTTTCGCGATTTCCGAGTCGAACCGGGCGAGTCCGGTTCGACTCGGCGTTTTTTAAAACACTGATTCTATTTGTCAAGATAAGTATTAGGTAGGTGAATTCAATTTTCATATTTCTAGAAAGAAATAGTTTACTACATACTTGTTAACTATGGTCTATAGAAAAGGGTTTTTCGAAACGATTTATTCAAAATTTGAAAAAGTCACGTTTTAACCGATCTATTGAAAAAGTCACAAGTTAAATCGTTTTTCAAAAAATCGTCGATTTCTTGAAAATTTCGTGAGTAACTTGGCGACTTGCTAACTCTGCTCGCCATACCACCAGCAAGGTTCCTTTTTAAACTTTTTCGTTCCCATTACTCGTCCGACATCTTTAATGTGAGACCAAAGTAATGCAACCCCCTTCCCCAACCTTTATGTTCCCATCCTTCCACTTTCCCTTGTCTCGATCAATTTATTCACGAAATCAATCCCTCGTCTTCTCTTCTCGGTCAATCTGTTCTGGACAGAGCATTTTCAAAATCAATCTCTTTGTCTTAATCGTCCGACATCTTTGATGCACCACACATAATAGAAACTCTTTTTTTGTGACTTTCATATGCGCCCACGTCAATCAATGAGCACAAAATCAGTGTATTTTTAAACTGAAGGCTTCAATCACTTTCTTCATTTCTTCACTAGAAACCACAAATGAATATAATTTTTTTTTAAAAGCACTATAAAATTAGTATTAAAATTAATATTAATTGCCACTCAAACAAGAAACATCTCAATTTTCACATATTTTTGCAACATAATAGAAGTACATAATGCACTACAGCCTTTTTTTTTTTTGAAACTCAAACAACAATATTTTTAGGGATTTTTTGAAATTTTTTAAAGCTCGAGCCAGCCAATCCTGCCGATTATCCGATCGGGACTGCTGATCTACTGATCCAACCCGGTTCTGGATAGACGATACGGGGTTAACAATCAATTTTTTAAAACCTTGGATAGAATACCAATACACATAGAGAACATGAATACACGAGGCGTACACAACATGATAATGTTAAATGTTACATTTATAGTGCCCAACATGGCACACTTCCTGACGGATTCAGAAAATAACTCTCATGAAACCTTTTTCTTTTTTTCGACAGTTAGTACACTCAAGAAACTGGGGTCGTGTTTCCGATATGAATTTTCGGTTTACATGAATGATCATCAAGTCCTCAGGCGACTGAACCTAAGCTCTATTCGCCATTTTGTTACAGTTTCAAATTCCAACATTAGCATGTCACCTGTATCCCCTGAATATTTCTGGACAATAAATAGAAGTCACCACTTGGGAACGAAAAGGCCCATTAATTATGAAGACAAACAGTGTACAAATATCGAAATGCATCTCTGTTGTTTCTTGCGTATGTCAAAATTTAAACCTCAACGACTAAATCCTCTTCATATCAAACGCCAGGCTTGGTTCAATTCCCACATTACCCACAGTAAGCGAACAAGGAAAAGAACCAAGAAAAGAGAAGAAAACATAGGATAGTCACTGCAGTTCACCTGCCAAAGTGTTATCCTTGGCCATCTGTTCTTCCAAAAGCTTCATTTGGCGCTCAGCATGTTCTCTTTCGCAGGCACTGATGCCCATGATAATATCAAGCATGGTACCAGTTGTGCCAAAGAAGACTAGCGGTGCCAAAGACTTCCTTCGTATTCCCACAGGAATAGCAACCAATGCCCCCACTACTGAGAACACCCATGTTCCTAATGAACTGAAAATACATTGCAGTCAAAAAGCTTCTCTAATACATCTAGTACCAATAGATGAATGAAGGAAATCATGACAATGATACGCGATAGAACAACAAACTGATCTGATATTCACATATTTTGTAGCTTTGACTGCCCATCACACAAAAAAAAAAAAAAGAAACAGAAAAATGTAATAAAAGACAATAAAGAATCTAAGCTTAAATATGAGTAACAAATAATAAGGGGACCACTTCTTACATTGTAAATGATCCACTCAAAAGTCATAGCAATGAATTTATGCCAAATTCAATATTATCGACACAGCTAAAGCCTACCATGTTATCAAGTCCCTTCATAAAATATTACTTATGCATTATGACATCTATAGTACTGCAATACAGAAGTTTGAAGTTATCCACCATCTCATATTTAGGCTTAGCATAACGAGATTATATTCTTACTAGAGTTCACAATCATTGTAAAGTCAATGCTGCTTGTGCGACCTGTACACTTAAGGAAAATGTTTTCACATTCAAAGAACAATACAGTAGGATTTAGGTGTGTTGTAATAGAAACATCCTGTACCACCCCCATGAAAGCAACCATCATGATAGTTAACTAATGAGGTACAGATTTGTGATTTTAATGAGATGCGTCACTTACAACCTTCGACGAATGTATATAATATGCTAGAAAAGGTATGTTTTATTCCTACATGATATGAATTTGCAGTATATGTACCTACATTGCTTCGCAGCCAAAGTCAAGATCAAAAGTCTCAAGGATCCTGAGCTTTCTACAAATCATTTATAAGAGGTGCATGGTCTGGGATTCGAGGAAGCAACGATTGCCTGTACAGAATATGAATATAAAGCAGTTTGATTTGGTGCCCAAGAAGAGTGGCTCACCACTTATATGAAACGCATGATAGAGGAAGAACATTTGAAACGTCATTTCACAATACCCTTGAAAAAATATTGCCAGGGGTTCATGATCTTTTCTTGAGAATATTTGACTTTGTATAAAGAAGGCTAAGTATAAAAAAAATGGGCTTCCCATTCTGGGAGCAATACACATCAAAAAAACATCTCCCCACAAACTAGGAGCTCTGTACAAAAACTAGGAGAAGAGCTCCCCAAAGGTATTGAACAACGGGGCAATGAATAAATAAATAGCTGTTAGTTTCCTCAGCTGCCAAGCACATAGCGCAACGGTTTGGGATTGGCAGGCCTCTTCTTTGGAGCTGATCGACAGTGAGGACTCTCGCAGAGAGAGAGCTATCCAGTTAAAAACTTGAATCATGGGAGGAGCGAAAGAAGACCAAGCCTTTGCCACTACAGAAACAGGAGCATGGGGAAAAGTGTGGGGTTGAAGAGACCAAAAAGGTCCCTGAAGGTGCCGGGCACCAAATGATCTTGTCGTCGCCTTGGGTGGGGTGGAAGGTTGAGTGAAGAAGGGATGAGAGGTCAAGGAATTCCTGGAGGTTCGAATCTGAGGGTGGTTTCCTGAAGATGGGACTCCAAACTCTGACTGAGCCCTGGGTAGGGAAGAGGTCTGCCACAGTGGCTAGACGGTTACGGGCTAGGAGGAAAAGGGAAGGAGAAAAGTCTCTCACAGGGGATTGACCTATCCAGAGGTCATACCAAAACCTAACTCGACTACCTTCCCGGGGGTGGAAATGGGTATGTTCTTTAAAGAGGTTAAGGATGCTAAGGAAAGATCTCCAAACTCCAAAGGCTCTGCTGTTAACTTGACAGTTTGCGGCCAGGAGGATTGGTTGAGGTGGTATTTGTGTCGAAGGACCTGCTGCCATTGATGTTCTCTTGGTTGCGTATCGCCACCACCATTTCTCAAGGATGGTCGTATAAGGAGGGCCTGCGGTTCGCGATCTTCAAAATGATTTCAAGAGCATTTCCATTTTCCTTCCAAGTCTAGACAGAGTGGTCTTGGAATCAGACCCTCACCTCATGCATGGCATTGAGTATTACAGAAATACATTTCCCTCAATCCCATGGTTGTATTGAGTAATTAAATGCATTCATAATGGATTTCATTTCCTTGGGCAATTTTTTATCTATCTGAAGAAGAGATAACCCGCCAAAAATCCAAGTATTAAAAGGAAGCATCGTTGGACTGTAGATCGCAGAGAGCCACGGCTTTTTCAGAACGATTAAGAATAGCTTTTTGTTTCTCTCTGTCTTTTCAAGGCCATGAACTTATAGTGGAATGGAAGGAAGACATTCTCCAACGTTCGGCTTTCCTTTGCAGAATATTTGAGAAGTGACCCTCAATACTTGGGAGATTTTCTCTCTTTAAAAAAAAACCTTTCAAAGAAAAACACTAATTAATATATAGCATTAAAAAAAAAAATTTAATTAGATTAAAAAAGAAATATGTGGCACATGTGAGGTCCCATGGCCACACAGACATACCAACATCTCCCATTTGGCTATGACGAATATCATTGTCATGAAGTATATCATTACCATGAGGCTTTTCACGCTAGTATGGTTATGCATCTCATGACACAAGAATCATCCAAAGTTATGGGGTTTTTCACATTAATGCAGCATTTCCTCTAATGACCAAAACATCAAAGAAAATATAATCTCATTTGGGGATTCCTAACTTGGATGTTCCTAAGTCCCATAAAAGCTACATGCTATGAAAATATTTATGCACTTAATCCCTTTGTTAAAGGGTCTGCAATCATATCTGATGATTGCAAATAACTTATAGTTATTTCATTCTTTTTAATAATCTCGTAAATATAATGATAATCAATTTCAATGTGCTTACCCTTGGAACTATACGCTCCATTTCTAATTGAAGAGATGTCAGTCTGATTATCACAAAGAAATTTAACTGGTCCATCGGCTATATCTAGCTTCAAATCATTTATACAGCGTTTATTTTAACAGCATAAGTTGTAGTAATGCTATAATCAATATACTCGGCTTTCATAATATACCAAACTACACGACCTTGTTTCTTGTTAGACCAAGAGACACATCTACCTCCAAAGAGGAATACAAGTCCTGAGGTTGATTTTCTATCATCTGGGTCTCCTGCAAAGTCTGCATTAGAGTACCTAGTAACCTCTATGTTATCAGCTTGGACGCACAATTTGTAGTTTTTACTTTTCTGAATATACCTGAGTATCTTTTTTACGACTTTCCAACGAACCATCCTAGTATTACTCTAAAATCTACTGACAAGACCATATGCATGACTCAAATCAGGCCTTGTATACAACATGGTATAATTTATACATCCTACAACTTGAGCATATGAAATTCTTTCCATTTCAACTTTGTCACTATTATTTGATGGACACATTTTCTTTGACTTTACAAATTGGTGTATCTGTGGGCTTACAATTTTTTATCTTAAATCTATTTAAAATACGTTCTAAATAATTTTCTTGAAATAAACATAGGAGTCACGAACTTCTATCTCTTGTTATCTTAATGCCTAGTACATATAAGGTTGTTCCTATATCTTTCATCTCAAAATGGGAACTTAGCCATGATTTGGTATGTTTAATCATGTCAATATCATTATCAGCTAGTAAAATATCATCAACATATGATGATAAAATAACAAAATTGCTCCCACTATTCTAGACATATACACAATGGTCCAATCTATTGGCTACATAACCAATTTCAGTGATTGCGTTATGAAAGGTTAAGTAACATTGCCTAGAAGACTGTTTAAGACCATAGAAAGATTTTTTAAGTTTGTACCCTGGCCTCTAATTACATATCCTTCTAGTTGTTTCATATACTTTTAATTCTCCATTCAAGAAAGCTATTCTAATATCCATTTGATCATCCTAGCATTAGTTGCTAGGATGATCTTAAAAGATGAAAATTTTGCTACTGGAGAATAAGGCTTTATATAATCTATACTCTTCTTTTAAGTAAATCCTTTAGCAACCAACTTAGTTTTATATTTATCTATGGATTCATTTGCATTTAGCTTTTTCTTTAGGACCCATTTGCAACCAATGACTTTTCTATCTTTAGATAGGTCAACCAACTCCCAAACTTAATTCCTTTTAATAGAATCAAGTTCATCATCCTTGGCTTCAATCCACTCAGCTGAGTCATGTGAGCTAGTAGCATCATTATAGCTTTAAAGTTCATCTATCATATTCTCACTTATGGGAGAATAACTGCCTTCATTCATAAACTCATAAAGTTCTTCTACAGTGGTAGGTGAGGCTCTAGTTCTTTTAGATCTATCTGGCATAATAGGTTAAATTGAATCATTCTCACCAATTCTAGATAGATCTTTATCAATTTTGCGTAAGTTAATAAACTTATTTAAAGTATGTTTATCATCTATATTTTCCTAGGAAAAGAGCATCACCGCTCTCTATTAAGGATATAGTATCATGGGTATAGAATCTATAGCCCTTAGAATTTTCTGAATAACCTATAAAAAAAAGCATTTGATAGTTTTACTTTGTAGTTTCCCTATTTTGTGGTGGTACAAGCACATGTACCTAAAAACCCCAAACTTTCAAGATAGTAAAGTCAGGTTCCTACCAGTCCATAATTTATAGGGGGTCAAGTCTATGGATTTAGTTGGAATACGATTAATTATGTACATTGCAGTGTTGAGAGCCTCACCCCAAAAATGAAGTGATAAATCTAAATGGCTCATCATAGACCTAACCATGTCCATTAGATTTCTTCTTTCAGCTACACTAGTTTGTTGTGGTTCATATGGCATGGTAATTTGGTGAATATTCTTTCTCAAAAAATCATTTTTCCTATGCCTACACTTGGCATGGATTTCCCATTAGGACTTCTCGTGTTCCCCGTTCAGAATTTTTTATAAAAATCATTTTTAAAAACTCTTGCAAAACACGACATCAAGAACTCTCCAATTTTATTTTCCCCCTTTTTAAAATGTCCTTTTTCATTTTCAAGAACACCACATTTAAGAACCTTTTTTTTTTTTAATTGCAAATCACTTAGCATTTTTTTTATTTTTTTCATTGCAAAGC